AAACACCCACACATACAAACTCATACGCATAATCAATCACAACCAACAAAGCAAGGAACAAAAGCAATGACAAACGCGCGAAGTGCACTCTGGTCCAGTTGACCGGCAGCTGTCAATAATAACCTTATCAGTTAAAAATAGTTTTCCAAAAGCACGACTTAAAAGCATTTTACATCGGCCTTTCAGCTTTGCTGGCAGGCACGGACACACGATGGCTATCTGCATAGTCCTACTCAACCCCAGAAGGGAGAACGCTGGAGTAAGGGAGGGGATTGTGAGGTATACACGTGCACGCAGTGTATCAATGTTAACAAGCCTTTATTGAGTCGGTTGAGAAGGCTGTTGTAGTACAGATGGAACTAAAGACTGGACACACGGGTTCACTACTGTAGACGTCCCGGGCGGCACCATCGATTTAGCCGGGGTTTATGTCAAAAACTTTGACATCTCTAAATGTTAAAATTGTCATCATGAAAGGACAATGTTATAATATTATACCGTCGTCACCACTGATAATTCAGTACATTCTAATTGGTTACTTGAAGGGCTCTAAGATGGCTATCGGTTCAAAGCCATGGAGAGGGTATGTTCTACTGGCCTGGAGAGACATCCTCCACAGATGGAAGGAGAGGTAACTTTTAAATTTGTCAGTTATCATCAATTAACAAATAAAAGAGTGTGGAGTGTTTTGTTCCATAATGCTTTAACAATTTTAAATAAATTTATTGAATACTTGCTGTGTTTTCTTACATGTCACTGTCTAACATTTAAGGAGAAAAATAATCAACCAAAGGTTAACAGAACTATCGACAATTACTGCTATTTCTATCCTGCACAGTTTGCAACATGTTCGATGTATGCTACACCAGCGATGCCATACTGGTCACCATTCCTTCCAGTTCCTCAATGTGGAAACCAACATTGCTAGATGGTATTGAAGGTAATGGATTGTTTGAGAGCTCTGAATGTAGCGTGTAGATATCATCCTGTCTCCTTACTCTCTAAAAGTACGACATAATAATATACCAGGATGCTTGTAAAGCGTTTCTACCATTGTTCTTTCCAAATTTTGGTTTACGTAACTTTTGTTGGGTTGTTTTAATCTGTCAGTTAAATCGCGATGTTCATGCCAGGTCGAAAATCAGTATTTCTTTAATCTTTGATAAGAGTAATTGCCTGGGTAATGGTAGTCAGCAGGGTGAAATTGAATACAAATTGCATAGAAGACATACTTTCCATACTTAATTTCTGCGGTGTAAACGTACTCCCTCTCTGAATCTCAGCCAGGTTCCAGGGGTTTCAATAGAAGCCGGGTAGCAGGTAGAAATACCCGCTTGTGAAGAGCCAAGTACCCGCCTGAAAACTGTTCGATCGGACCAGATAAACATTAAATTTGAATTCGTACAAGAACTATAAAGTCCCATGATCTACTGAGTTTAAATTATAAAAAAAGAAAATGCCGTGCTTTTACTCCTCCCTTTTGTCTTGTGCAAAGGTGAACTGAAGTCTTCACACGAAGCGAATAAAATTGTCTTAAAATGTAGCGAACATAACGGCAGAAAATTTGCCAGGCATTTACATGGACAAGTAATCGAGGGAGACTGGGACTCAATATGCATAGTAATGGCGGACAAAAGGCCATCGCGTTCGGATTTATTAGCATATTTCCAACCAAGACAAAAGCGGTCAAAGCAGATTTCCTCGTCAGAAGGTCAGTTGTAGAATAGAAGGAACATTTCTCCATGTTTGAACTTAATCAGCTGGCCTTTTCAGTCGCTAACAGCCGATTCGTTTGTATGATTTTCGATCAGGTGCTTTCAATAAAATTTGAAGGTTTAGCTTACTTGTCTGTTGTCTTACTCTGAGTACCTTGTAACTTAATATTTTTCAGAACGTAGTTCATTAGAAGGTGAAGTTTCACAGCCACATACCCCTGGCGAAAATAAAACCCTTCCTGTTTCAAACTCCAATGTCAAAACCGTGCCAGATGTGGGAAAATCCGTGCAATTTCTCTCGAGAAGCCAGACGTGTGCAGCAAGTACCGACTTGTTTGATCATGATTCAGTTTTAAAGCTATTTGGGCTGTCAGAAATCATCCACAATCACTACACTTGCAAGAAGAATAATTGTTTCAGTCTCACCGAAAAGGGTCAGTTAAGTAATTCCTCTTTAAAGCGAGACCGCTTTAAACATCAATGGGTTAACGACCGCAACTTGGCCTTCGATTCACGCTCCGGCATGTGGTGGCTAATATACAAGGAGGAAACAGATGGTGAGAAAGGCAGAATGTTTTGTTTGCTATGCAAGAAGCATAATACCTCAAATATCAAGAACAACAGCAAAATCTACAATCTCACACCTGCCCAACGATTTAAAACTGATGCTCTTAAAGAACATGCAAAGAGTGCCCAACATACACCAGCTGTAGAAGCAGAAATGATCAGGCGAGTGTCAGTTTTTCACAAAGAAATTGAAAGCCAAGAGAGAAGCAGAGATGAAGTTCTGCACAATGCTTTTATGGCTGTATACTGGTTGGCAAAGGAGGAGATGGCGAACAAGAAGTTTCCTTCACTTCTTAAATTACTCGAAACGCTTGGATTAGAAAAGATGAAACATTTTCAGCATCGCTCTGCAGGATCAACCATTGAAATCTTCTTGACCATAGGAAAAGTACTTAAGCAGAGGGTAGTTGAGGCTTTGAAGACATCCAAAGCATTTGGTCTGTTAGTCGACGAAGTAACGGACGTTGCAGTCAAGGAACAGTTGATAGCTTTTGTACAGTATGTTGGTGACGACGGCCATCCTTTGGTGAAATTCTTTTTCATTGACGATGTTTTGGAACAGTCCTTGTCTACCAATGCCGAAACAGTTGCAAAATGTATCCAGGACAATCTAAGTAACTGTGAACTTGACATTCTGAAAATGATGAGTCTGGTAAGCGATGGTGCGAAGGTTATGACAGGCCACAAAACTGGAGTAGCTGCCCGACTAAAGCAACTTAACAGTAAGCTACTAAATGTACACTGTATCTGCCACAGGCTTGCCTTGGCTTGTGCTGGTGCAAGTGACGAGACGAAGTATATCGCACAAGTGGAAGGAATCCTCTTGCAACTCTGGAAGTTCTTTGCTAACTCTCCAAAACGAATGGCAGTTCTAGTTAAAGCACAAGAGTCTTAGCGAAAGATGAAACTATCCTATAAAGCAAGGTCTGCTGTGGAAAAGAAGGCCAGAAAAGCGTGCAGAACACGCTGGCTGTCGACAAGTAATGCTGTTGATGGGGTGTATGAAGATTTTGTTTCTATCATACAAGCAATAAATCTGATTGATGACAAAGATGCTTTGGCATCGTACCTGCTCTCCAAAATGAAAAGCTTCAAGTTTGTTGGTGCCATCTACATTTTGAAGGCTGTTCTCCCAGAACTAGCAGCACTGAGTAAGGCATTCCAGCACGGCACCGTTAACTTTGGCCATATTGTTCCTGCAATCAACCACACAACAGACAAACTAACCAAAATAGTGCAAGAAGAGACACCTATTACACAGCTTCAGGTTGATGTTCAGGAAAGTGGATGACTTGGCACCTGTGACTTACAAAGTAACGAGTATGAGGTGCAAGTTCTTCGCAACCTTCTGAGAAATTATGTACATGCATTGAAGCAGAACATCACTTTACGTTTCAAGGATTCTATGCCAGTTGTTTCAGCACTCAACATCTTCAATCCAACTGTGATTCCAAACCGTGGGACATCGGAGTTTACCAGCTACGGATGCAAAGAAATGGCCACATTGCCCATCAGCACTTTCCCAATGATGAAGAGTCACAACGCCAAGCAAATGCAGAATGAGAGAAGCTGAAAGGGCAAATCCCTGAAGAACTTGAAAATGTCACCCCAACAGAGTGGTGTCTAAGGAGGCTCCTTTCAATGCGGACTGATTTTGGCCATTTCTACCTTAAGTTGGTATGGATTGCTGAAATCATCCTTTCCCTCCCAGTGTCAAATGCATGGGTGGAAAGAGGAGCCAGTGCTGTGAAGAGGATAAAGAGCAGACTCCGGAGCAGTATGAGCAATCAGATGTTGGAGGCACTGCTACAGATCTCAATTAATGGGCCAGCAGTAAGCGAGGCAGAAGACCTGGTCAAAGAAGCTGTCAAAACCTGGAGCAAGACAAAGAAGAGAAGGAAGCTCCCTCCAGCAGTAAATCTTAAGCTTGGTGCTACCACCTCTGGCAATTCCGAAATTCAAGTTCCAACCATTCTCGTTGACACTGCTATTCAAACTAATCTGGAGGAAGACGTCAATGAAGAAGTAGAAGCAGTAAGTCTTCAAGCAGAGGTTGAAGCTGCTGTTGAGGCTTTCAAGCTTCCAGCTGACCAATCTTATGAGTCAGATGATTCTGCTTTTGAAACTGAAGAATACTAACCAGTCCTCAGCCTTAATAACATTTTGTGCTTACCAATGTATTCATGGTCACTACAGTAGTTAACCTGAATCTTTAAGCATATGAGATCTCGATGATAGGTGTAGGATTCCACGTGCGAATTTTTATTTTAGCTTGCCATTTACGTATGCAAATTAGGACTATTTAAAACGCTACGATTTCCTACCGCACCAATCTTTTCAACGTTTTCTCTAGCTTCAAGTTAATATTGTTGCGGAATCTATTCTACCAAGCTTCACCATCATCGCTACAGTCAGGAAACATTTGTAAGTCTTTATATTCTGTCCTGTATTTCTCATATCGCTCGGCTCTTCTTCACATGTATTTTTATTTATTTTTCTAGTCGAACCTCGCTCGCTCTATCTTTCAGTTCTCAATGGGCTCCTCGAGTCTCTTCAACAGAGCGTGAGTTTGAAATCTCTAGACATAGCGTCAACAAGAACTGTAAGCTACATTGTTCGAAAATGGTTCCAGAGGTTGATTACCTTTCCTAATCGTCGATCGCTGTTCAATTCGACGATGGAAGAAGAAACCGATGGCCAAGCTACCCGTTGCCAAGTTCAACACTGGATCAACAGGGCGTTTGGAATGAAAATTTATTTATTCAAGGAACAGTGTTTCGCCAACTGAAACTGTAGTAGTTCATTTCACAATTTCGTTTCACCACATTATCGAGCTACCATTTTCAGAGATTTGAAAGTTCACCTAAGATTTTCAGAGATTGCTCCATTTACCCTACAATTTTCGTCACAGTAAATCCCATTACCTAAAATTTTTGGAAGCTTGAAAGTTCAAAATAAGCCTTTAAATTGCCTAGAAAGTAGTACTATACTATAAAAATGACGTTCCAACCTTTCAGGGAAATTTGGTCGTTGGGTGCCCCTGATAATTCAGAAGCATCTGTAATGTTTCCTCTTTAGACAGCAATATAGACATGTCATTCAAAAATTATTAGTGATTGTCAAAACTGTTTAACTCAGTAAAGCCATGTAGGCTCAGTGAGGAAAGATCATTACAGTTTAATTTCATTTTGTGATGAGGTGTATTAATTTATATAATAATTTTGTTGGCTGGAATTCATCAGTGCTACCTTGTACTCAAATTTCTTTAAATAAACTAGGTAGTTAGGTGATGCAAAGGAGCACTAAATTTTGCCCCAGAATGCAGGAAAATGCATTTCCAAGAGTGTAGAATTTCAAAATTTTCCGGGGAAGCATGCCCCCGGACCCCCCCAGCGGGGAAGGCCCATAGGGCCTTCCAGTTTCCCTACCTGGTTTTAAAACCTCTCCTACCCACCTGTACAAATTATTATTGAAACCCCTGTCAGGTTCTGAGGGATTTAAACTGAAACCAATTTTCCGTGAAACCAACAGAAATGTGTATATGTTAACATAGATAGCAGTATCACTGCAACAAATATTGAAGACAGGCTGGCGACGGCATTAGAGAAAGCAACAGATATGCTGAAAGTGCAGGTTCGCTCATTATTTTTCAAATTAATGATAAATCTGAAGGTAGAAAAGTCGCTCCAGAAAACCTTGACATAATGTACATGTATACAGATTTAATTTTACAGACAATTCTGGATATATAATGACATAATGATCCCGTAATATGATATAATGCCTAAAACTGTATTATATCTAAAAGGTGAAAGATATTTATCTAAGATCTCTGACTACCATTTTGCAGGGAGAAACTTGAAACTTTGAAGGCTTGCTAGTAAGTAATGTAAGAATTGTTAGTATTGTAATTACTGTAAGTATTGTACGTTGTGTTGTATTTATCAAATAAATTTAAAAAAAGACAGAAAGGGGCAGTCAATAGGATGAAAATGACGGTGACAAGATTGACAAGTGAATGATTTCACGGGAAAATTCGGAAAAGCGCATGTTAAGTAGTTGGTGATGTGTTTCGGTTTTAAGACCATAAATTTTTCCGTTTCGTGCAACTTTGTACAAACTGTTTGTTGGGCATTTGATGTTAGCCTCCCTGTTAGCACGAGTGGTTCATTTCCCTCCACTTAATTTTAATCATTTTGGTATTTTTTTAACATAAAATAGACTTTTAGAGCGTTTTTTTCTGTTCTAACACCATTCTGTAATTATTATGCTACCCTAAGTTTAACACATTTTCCTTGAAACGATTTTGTTGTAAATGTCTGTGAATTATTAAATAGTTATCCACTCGCCCACTTTACAAAAGAATTACAGTAGTCATATACGCTCCTTTGGGCCGTAACCAATCAGGAGGCAGGGATTGTACCACGTGACCACTATTTTCCCATACATTCTCTTAAATTTGTAAATCCAAGATGGCGATATTCGCGAAAAATGGCGCATGCGCAGATGGGACAACCTGAAATCG